GTTCCCGGCCGGGCCGGAAGAGGCTCCTGTGGCGCGGGGGAGGGTGCGCGTGCCCGTGACCGCCGCCCGCTATAGGCACGAGCCCCGGTAGCGCTGTCAGCCGAGGTGCGAGAGCCGGCGCTGCGTGCGCACGTGCGCGCTGCTGGCGAGGGTCCGGGTACAAGGGCCGCCACCGCGGGCCTTGTGCGGTGCCTCCCCCGGAGCGGTGCTGTGCAGACCAGGCCAGACCAGGCCAGGCCGGCCCTGACCCGGCACTGCGGCCCTGCGCTTGCCGCTGGCCGCGCTGCTGCCGCCCGGGGAAGGGCTGCTCCCCCAGCATCAGGGCAGTGCGCTTCAGAAACCCACGCCTCTCTTTACTTGAATCTTCTGAGTATTCTGTAGATTCAGCTTTTTCCTAGTGAGAGTCCCCATTCTAAGTTCAGAACATGAGTCTGCTCCTAGTTTCTTCACTTAAAACAAGGTCTTTTGCCTGGTCCCTTGTAGCTGCACGTGTCATGATTTTCAGCTTGAACTGCTGTTTTTTACAGAGCAATGAGCAAAACTGTAAGCAGAAATGGCAATGAGGTATCAGTAATACAAGTGGCAGTGCTGACTCCAGAGTATTTTTCTATAATCCCGTTTCTGTTCTTCCCACAGACACCCCGTACTGATGGTTGATACCATGGTGGCAACGAGCCTCCCTGTGCTGTGAAGATGCGTCCTTGTTCTGCAGTGTAAGGATCTTCTGAGTCCATCCCATTTCCAGCCCCGCTGTCATCCAGGTTCTCCTCCATGATACTCTGATCCGGTGACAAGCAGCCGTTCCTTACCCTTCATCATGAGCACGCTCCTGCTGTCCGTGTAAGGACACAAAGTACTTAATGGATCAGGCCCAAAATACAGAAAATACCCACCACTAACTTCCCTTCAGTCAAGGTTCCTGTTAAATAGAACCGCTCGATTTGGATTTCTTTTGCAATTTTGTGCACCAGTCCATCATTTCTGTATCTTCGGTAATATGTCCCCCTATGGTGTCATGCCCCTCGATTTGGATTTCTTTTGCAATTTTCTGCACCAGTCCATCGTTTCTGTATCTGTCTTCAGTAATATGTCCCCCTATGGTGTCATGCCAAATACTTCTGGAACTTCCACAGAGGTTAAGCTACTACATTAACAATGGAAAATGTCATTTATATTAGAAAAGAGTTGTGATTTAATCAGACCTGTGCTACCTACCTTGGTAAATTTATCTGTTAAAATCAGGCACGCAGGTAAGATGAATCTTTGCTAAATGTCATTTCCTTTTTTTTTTAAGTTGGAGATTTTTATCAGTTATGATAGCCCTAATTTCTGAAAACTAATGGCAGAGATATTCAGGTATATTCATGTTATTGATGTCTTCACTGATCACGTGTTTCAAACCTTTTGCATAACCATAAATACCATCCTTGAACTTTCTCTTGATCTTCATTATCTTGTCACACCATCTTGTTCCTTTTTAAAGAGGAAAGGATTGTGCTGATGATCACCCAAGTCTCCGCTTTTCTGAGCATTGCCCTAATTTCCAGCAGATTATATAATTTGGTGGGAATCTGGCAGTGTCATTTGACCAAATGTAACCAGTGGGGTTTTCTCCGTTAGCCTCAGGTCACCATCCCACAAAGTATGCCCTGGCAAGTGATAAACCTTCACTTTCCTAGGTTAATACACAAATTGCAATCTTAAAAGTTAGCATTCCACAGTCTATGTCTAATTCATGACTAATATCTACAAGAAACTGAACTTTTGGCTTGGACATGAGATATTAAGTGTGCCATTAGTCCAGGAATAATTCCTTCTTGTTCTGCAAGTCAACCTGGTGTAATTTGCGGAAGGAATGGAACTCTGAGCAGGGAAGGCAAAGCTTCCTGATAAGTTTCATTTTGAAAAGCAGCAATTTGAAATGTGTTCTGTGTGTGGATATGTTTCATATCCTTCAAATTAGTCACAGCAAAGGTGGATTAAACAGCTAAGGGTGAGTTGAAGTTGTAATAATGCAATACATGACTCTACTGTTTGTGTTGCACATTCCAGTGAAGTCAGCACTTGTGTTCTTTTTTTCCCCAGGTTAGCATGAAAGCTGTAGAGAGGCATTAACGACTGGAGATGATCAAAGCAGTCTGGGCTAACTGGCTGGTTTTCGATTCAAATGTAGATGTTGATAGAACAGATCCTAAGCCAGAGGGTTTTTCAGTTTTCAAGTGAAATAGGCTTATAGTGTCGCAGCTGACCTGTATATGTGGCTCCTCAAGTATCCCCTTTTTCTGGATGGTATCTGGCATGGACGATGATGGAGAAAATTTCATGAGGGCAAGTAATGGCCAGTTATGGGATATAGGAAAGACTTGATTTAATTTTTGTGTATGTATATATATATATATACACATATATATATATATTTAAATTTCTTTTTGTAATTTTTAAATTGAAAGCATTTGGACATTTATCTAAGAACATGAGGCTACCCCCTAGATCCTTTTTAATCAATAAGGCAGTTTGTGGAGAACTGTTTGCCATGAGCAAAGGTGACAGTCTCCCCAAAATTATAATATTTAATTTCATTAATTTTAATATTTTAGTATTTATATATTTTAAATAAACAGTAACACCAGGCAATTACAAAGAATCTTACTGACTGACTATTGCATGTGTGGTATTTTGTATCATAACACCTGAAAGCAAAATCTTCCTCGAGAAGCGACGTTCTGCGAACGTGCATGAGAGGCCTTAAAATCAAAGGCAGAAGTTGTTGAGCTTGACCTACCCCTGCAGGTCGTCTTTCAGAATGAGTAGAGGGAGGAGGCTGATACAGAATTAGCAGGATGGAGTTTATGCTCCTAATTATTTATGTATGTGTATATACTTCTACCATATAGGGTAACATTTTTAAGCAGCAAGTGTTACACAGGTTACTACTAGACTGCTAAGCTTTCAGAAGAGTTTTTTCTAATAATGTGATAATCCAAAGTAGAAAGTATTTTTCCCCTCGTTTTTAGGCAACTAGTGTATTATACTTAATGTATATTCTTAATGTATGAAAATACTCGTTTTTAGAATACAGGAGTCTTCTGACTTAGGTAAGCGTGAAATGTAAAATAGCAGAAATGCAATTAGTTTGTGACTGTTGTTCAGAATAAATTAACACTTGCCATTGTAAAATTCAAAATCCCAGATTGAAATAGTCAGTTAATAAACACTCCATTCATGAACTGTGCATCTATGAATATTTTAATGTAACCTAAAATGTAATGAGCAACTTCCAAACAAGCTCGCTCTTGTAAATAAATATTCATCAACTTTTTTTTTTTTCTGACATTTAGTATGGCCTAGTAAAGGAGAAAGGAAAATTAATAAAAGGTAAAAATAGGGAAAGGAACAAGAATGAACAAGATAAACTGATTCATTAACAAAACAGAAAGGTTTTGAAAAGTCAAGT